AGCGTTAAATGTATTTTGGTTTTTACTTTGCCTATAGTACATAGGTTTGTTCTTTTATTCTTTGTTTGTCCCAGTTGTTGAGTTTATTATTTGCCATAATTTATGTGAAACTATGGCAAGTTCTTGTTATAAAAACTTTTCCTTTGGATGAGGCTTTGATATTAATTTGGCGTATAATACCAATTGCATAGACGAATGATGGTTCTGGGTAAAAAAGATTGAAGTTCTTTCAGTCACTAAAATCGGGCAAGGCCGTGGCTATTTCTGTTTGAAATGAAGTGAATGCAAGGTCTATTTTGTTGAAGTGCGAAAACTTTGTGGCTAAATTAGAACTTCCATGAGGTCATCACAACATTCGCCAGTAATTGGTCGGTTTGGTCCCATCTATAATTGGATCTGAGGCCTCGAATATTGGGGGCAATGTATGCTGGCGAGTAGCCAGCGAGTTCAGAGTGATTGTGTAAAAGTTGGATTGGCATAACACCCCGTGGGGTGTGAAAACCTTCGGTTGACACAAAGATGCATCCATGAAAGCAGGACTCCCAGTAAGAAAAGATCAGCCCCTGCTAGACAGAATGCTAGAGAACCCGGGTTGCAAAATATGGCATTGTTAAGGGAATTTTATTTCGTATGAAAGTGCATAAAGAAGAGATTCGTAGGTCGATCTCACCGGAAGAGGACGGATAAATCTCGTTATACTGCAGCCGTTTGGCTTTTATACGAAGTTCAGGTTGATGCAGTCCACGAGACCTCCTCCCTGGTTTCGGGTGAAAACGGGCTGAGCTTTCGTCCATCATATGATGCACATCATCAGAGCTGGGTCTCATTCCTGCAAAAGTCTCATGCCAACACTATGACAATAGACTATCCGTCTCTATCCTACTTCTTAAATAGACTCAATTAAGCAAAAGAAAAGTAAGAAACCTAGAGAGAGATAGAATGGTTTGGCTAATTAAATTTCATATGGGTCCGGATATTTTCGTTCGAGTGTCTGTGTGTGTCCATGTATGTGTCTTGACGTCAATACGCAATACCGGTAATAAATAATTGCTTAATTGAGTCTTTATAAAAGGTAAGATAGAGCCGGATATTCTTCTTGCTCTAGTCTTGACGTGAGACTTTTACAAGAATGCGTTTCAGCTCTGATGATGACCATCAAATGATGGACGAAAACTCAGCCCGTTTTCACTCGAAGCGAGGAAAGAGGTCTCGTGGACTGCACCAACCTGAACGGTGTATGAAAGCCAAACGGCTGCAGTACAACGGGATTCAGCCGTCCTCTACTGGCGAGATCGACTTACGAATCTCTTCTTTATCCACTTTCGAACGAGTTAAGGTTTCCCAACAATGTTAGCTCAGGAGGTTTATCAAAACCCAGTTACTCTTCGTATGTAAAATACAGCATGTTTCCTTTCCTATGGAGGGCTGTGAAGGTTGGACTCTGTGTAGAATTCTGGGAAAACAATAATTATTCCTCATGATATACTATTCCCCAGCTCATGGGGCATTCAAGACCGTACCTGGAGACATTCGTCTGGCCAT